TGATAAAACACGTACAGAAGTTCTTGGCGCATTTTCCATTATTTGTTGGACATTTTCTTTTAATTCTTCAGTCCGCTTTTTAGGTCGGCCGCTTCCTTCTTTTCTTGTTACACTGCCCGTTTCACGAAAAACATTAACACAACGCTGAACTGCACTTTGAAAAATTTTGTACTCAACAACGCCGGGAAATTGATTTTGAAATTCTATGAAACATTCCTCAATAGAATACTTCCATATTCCATCAATCTTGCGTCCATTTCTAAAGTAGGACTCTATGATAAACACTTTTTGTTCTTGAGAAAACACCATTTTAAACGCTTTTTAAAACGAAAATATTCAAATTGATAGCGGCGATATAGCGCTTTGACAGATGACGTTTAAGTTCATTTGCTATACGCTACGCCCTACGTCCAAATTTTCAGAACCAACTTGACCACCTTTTTATTTGAACGCTCGTTACATACTTTTTTTTTCTCCGTATATTTATGTATTTATTTCCTGTTTTGTTTTATTATACATGTTTGATATTTTTCTGTGATAGGCATTTTGCGATGTATCGACGCTTTAGTACAAAAACATGCTCAGATTTCGGTTGGAAAACTTGCTATCTCAAATTTCGGTTGAAAAACATGCTAACTCAGATCTTTAAGTAAAAACCTGCTATCTCAGTGTGATTAGAAATTTAAGTTGGCACATTGAATGATTGAAACCGTACATTTATAATAAACTTATACTTAATATATTTTTTAAAAAGTAAGGAATGTTTATGTTCAGGTACATTGTTTATTTTATTTTTTTCATTCAATTCAATTCTCTGTTTTTCGCTTAAACGGGCAACTATTTGTCAAAATAATTTAACAACGAATGAAACTGAACTAAAACGAATCACGTTATACCTAAGGTACTTTGATGAATTTTATGTGTTTATCGATGTGTTTTTTTTTTGAGAAAAGAGCTTTAAAGTAAGCAGGAAAAGATTAATAAAGAGTAGGTACGTTTTTTAAAGTACAGCAGAGACTATGACTGTTCGAAATAATTGTCAGTACGACATAAAAGACAATCTTTTACATTTTTTTGATAACTATGACAAAAAAAGTAGGTATTACCTTACATCGCTGAATGCGTCTTTAGAAGGGCTATCTATTTATACTACAAAATATAGAGAAATTATAAAAAATGTCTGTAATGTTATAAGTCTGTCAAACATGGCTCAAAAAATAGAAAATACTTACTAATGCTGTAGACGTAGACTAGCAGAATGAGCTGAATACGATCCTTTTAAGAACCGCGCCTCCCGAATTCTATTTTTACCTTAATCAATCGTGACTTCTCCGTACGTGTCGAAACTGCAGTTACTGACATGAATTTGGACATTTACGTAACATTGCACACCGCTGTGAAATCGTTAATGAAACTGCCGGCAAATATTTGGGTGCAAACCGTAATAAATTTTAAATATTTGGGTACCTATAATACGCAGTGATTCACGAAAACAAGCTCTACCGATAATAAGAGTACAATTTCGATATTAATTGACCTTTCCGGAATTATTATTGGGGCTTTTGTAGCATGTACTCGAAAAGATACACTTTCCATCAAGATTAATGCACAGCGAAAAGCAGGTCGCAATTTCCAAGTCGATTTTCCACAGCTCACAGCTTCAAATACTAAAAAATTTCCTACACTTTCTAATAGGCCAAGCAAATAAGATTTTTACTCGAAAAAAGTCCTATCCGCGAGATTATTGTAAAATTGTCTAAAGGAACATAATACAAGACATCTCGCATCTCGTGAGTCAAAAACTTTTATTAGCTAACTTTTCTATTTAAGCTAATAAGTGAGGAAAACAGTTTTTTCACGAATGTATAAATTATTACCATGGAAATTACTTTACGGCACTATACTTTCTCTAAACTGACAGATTAAATATGCAACAATTTATTTTTTTATTGTTTTTGATAATTCTTTAAAATATGCCAATAATATTATTACTGGTATCCAGCCGTCTGCTAATATATTCATTATAATTACTGTTTATATCACAAGAGGCACAACGTTAAGTATATAAGCCAGGTTATCGAAACTAAATAAATGTGGTCTTGTGGCTTAAAGCGTTACGCGTGGTCATACTAATCTAAAGGTTCGGGGTTCGATTCCTGATGAGATATGGTTTTTTTTCAAATAATATAATATTTCGAATGTAATTTTTCATCGTCCACATTTCAAGACAAATATTTCCGCACCAGTTGCTGATCACGAAGTGAATAATTTCTCACGGTGTTGCCAAATATCTGCTGATTCGAGGTGCGCTAGATTGCTTGTTAAATTCTGCCTGAAAATCGTGAAATATAAAATGCA